TCTGAGAGAAGGGGTGGGGCCGCTGCCTGGAGGAAAGGGTGTTTACTAGAGCCTTCCCTTGCTCAGGGCATCTGGAGGTAGTTCCATGTACAAGCGTCACTGTGGCATCTGCACAAGCCAGGCAGCCTCTTTCTGCACTTCACAGGCTTGCAGGCTTGGGACTGCCTTTAGCCACTCTGCAACTCATTCCCTGCTTTCACTGAGGACCAAAGGTCCTCGTGCCAAAGCAGGCTTCGTTTCCCTTTGCGGTGAACGCCTCGTACAGTATCCTCCCCCACATCGTCCTCAAAGCCTCCAGTCTCTAGCCCTGGACAGCACATCTCATATATATATATATTTTTTTTTCCCAATGTGTAGCTGCCTGAATGGGTCTGTTTACATTTTAGGCTACCTAGTTTTCTCCTTTCACATGCCTTTTACCACGTGCCCCTCCGTCCTATGACTTACAACAACCTGCAGGAGTTATTGTCATGTATGAAGACAAGATTCCGGCTCAGCCCCATCTCCAGGAAGACACGGTGGTTCACAGGGGCCCCCTTCCCAGGCCTCTTCTGGGGTGGAAACAATATGGATTATGAAGATGGTGTGTGTGTGTGTGTTTGTGTCTTATATCTTTTAATAGAGTACAAGGCTCATCTTTTACCCCAGGAAGAACTTCGATTCCCATGTATTTTATTCTACCAGATTATGGGCCTATATGTCACTTTCTTATTTAAAAAAAAAATAGAAAACTGTAAAAAAAAAAAAATCCTATTACTTAAGTTTTTTCCTGCACATATAAATGCATAATATATGTAATAGATAACATTACTAATGTCACATTTACATAACTTCTCATAATTAGAATTTTAAAACTAATAATCCATGTGACTATATTTCCACGTTGATGTGTTCAGAGCAACAGCATCCCCGTGAACCACTGTGTGCTGTGTGTTACACTTGATGACCACGTGAGAGCAGGCCCTTCATCCTGAGGTAGTCAGACTGTCTCTCACATATTTCAGCTCTTTATAATACTCCGGTGTTCATGCATGTACACATAGTTTCATTCGCTGGTCCTCGGATTTCTTTTTATTTTCTTTTTTAAGTGGTCCGTAGGGTGCGGATGCTTGCCAGAGAGAGAGAGCCAAAGAGAAAGTGAGAAATCATCCTTCTCCCCTCCCGTGGGGCATGGTCATGCTCCAACCCCTTCTCCATTCTCCTATTGGGATTCTGAGCTTGCATGCCCATGCACCTGGAGTATTTTTCAAGCCACTGGTCTGGGACTCAAACCCAAGGTTGGTCATATGGGATTCAGTCACCTTAACCACCATGCTAGGGGCTGGTCTGACTGACAAAGATAAATCTTAGATAGGAAAACGTTAGGTCAGTGACAAGCACATTTTAAAGACCTGATACACATGCCATATTGGTCTCTGGAAGGCTTATACTAAATTACACTCTCAACAGCAGTTTATAAAAGTGCTCTTTCTCTACTCCCTAGCCACTGCCCGGGTGTTTTAATTCACTTTTTAATTTAAAGAGCAAGGAGGAGGCATCCCATAGGGCTTAAGATCTCCCAGAGTAGAGATACATCAGATTTATGGTGTAAAGATTTGTTAGCCAGGGCCTGAGTCATGGGAACGTGGGCATATTTGTTCTATTACCAAGAACTCTATGAATCAGATCTAATAACTATTTCAGTCACTACCAATACAGCCACATTTAAGAGACAACCCAAACTGGAAAAAGCTATATATTTTTCATCATAAAAATTCCCATGGATGTGATAATAGCAAATATCCTTTTAGTTCTCTTTAGATGGAGGCAATAATATTGTTTCACTTGAAATTACGTATCTCATTTTAGACATTGGAGGATCTAATTTATAGCTATGTTTCCAGGAATAAGTGAAACTCTATTTGTTCCTAAATAAAAATGTCAATCATAGAGTGACAGGCACTGCAAATAACCCATGGAGCTGTCTATGTTTTATATATGAATGAGAAACCTGACAAGGCTGTTTGGAACCTCCCTTGTTCCCATCTGTTGTTCTGTCCATTTAATGACCTTTCAGAGGGCCATAATTCTCAGGGCTTCTATCAGCAAGAAGCCGGAAATAAACCTCAGTACTGATATGGCCAATTCTGAATAGGATATCAATTCCAAATAGGGCAAACATCTGCATGCCAGCACCCAGACACAACAGAAGAGGGAGAACTAAGATAGTTAACCTAATGAATGGTTGTATTTTCTAATCTCTTCTAGGATTTTAATACATTTTTGCAATGGGTTGTTGGAAAATTTCTCTGAATAGCCAAACATTTCTGTAGAACTTGTTCTATATTTGTTTTACTGATTCTAAATATGATGAGAAACTTCATAAGTCTCGAGATCCAATTAGCATGAGAATGCTCTCTTCATGATCTGATTTTATTATGCTGTTGATTTATTGGTGTCCCCAAACCAGAGAGTGTTTAACTTATGAGATAAATTCTTTGGGATAGATATAACTTTCTCTTAAATTATCAGGATTTATAAAAAAACTGTTGGTTCCCTAATATGCTAGAAGAAAAATGTTATGAATTTTGCATGCTTTTGTGGTCACCCTCCTAAATATTAGCTAGGCAATGCAATGTCTTGACTCTATTCTACAATACATGTCTCCTTCTGTGATCACCTTCTCAATACTTGTATTGACTTTTCTTTCCTTATTAGTTCATGCATGATTTTAGCTACCCTACCAAGAGTTCAACTCTATGCTGTTAAGTGGTTATGAATGTATTTTCAATTTAAAATATTGTCATTTCATACTGTATAGGTATAGATGGGAGAAATCGGGCTCCTTTTTAAAATATCAGAAGTCTGTATTTCTTGCAAGAACAGAGTCCTGGTAACAAGGACTAGTTCTTCCCTTTTATATGGAACACAATGTAGGATGGGGACCTTTACATACGTAATTATACTTGAAGCTTACAGATCAGCGTGCAGAAGTAAAAGTTCTGAGTGCCAAACTTAAAACATTGAACAATCTAATGGACTTTTTATATTCTTGAACGATTACTCTATAGACCTTTGGTAATAAACATTTTTTTAAAAAAGAAGTATTTATTTACTGTTATTTATTATTATTATTGTTTTGTAATTCACCAGAAAGAGACAAAGAATGAGACAGAGGGCAAGTGAAAAAGCAAGCTGTCAGGTCTAGGACTCAAACTGTGGTCAGCTATGTGGGAGTATAGTACCCTAACCACAATGCCACCTGCTGGCTCTGATAATAAACTTTGCAAGTGTCATTTAACCTACACTTCTCGTAGATTACTCATGTTAATAGTTGATAACCCTTACTTTTTGTAGATTACTCATGTTAGTAGTTGATAACCCTCCCATTTCACAAAGTTGGGAGCACTAAGTAATATCAAATATAGATCCTACGTGACAGTAGTCTCATATCATGCTTGATAATTAATTCCTCCCTATGATACAGATTTACAGTGAAGTGGTTGCCTTTTGATTACAGAAGCTCAAATGGTTCAATCCATTAGATTTTTGTTTCTTTTAGTCAAGAAAATAAATCACTAAAGTTTAAGAAAATCAAATGGCCGAAATAAGCCAATTTTTCTTGAATGACCTTGAATCTTAAATGACGGAACTTGAACACGTAAGGAACAGGGCTTCTTTATCCTAGCAGCAACCAGTTAAGAATATTAACTGGGTCCTGTAACCTTCTGCAGATACGCAGCTGGATTCATTACCAAGTTTATTATTTCTCTTGTCCTCAAGCTTATGATTGCATTGGTATATTTTCTATACATTTCCTCACCCCCTTTTTGTTTTACAACAACAAAATCTGAGTCCATAGGTGATTTGCAAAACTAGAATGGCAGATTCCCACTGAGACAAGTACACAGAGGAGTCAGCTAAGCCACACGGTACGTAGTTGAACTGTGTCCTCCACATATCACATTTCTTTACCGAATAAGCCAATAGTAAGTTCCACAGATTAAAATGACTATATATAAAGGTCTTTTGCTGTTTTAAAAAATAGTTAGAATCCCCCGAATGTCAGTGATCTTTCATATAGTCACTTGCTCGAGGATAAAGCAGACAACAAGCTCCCAGTGAGTCTATAACGGCATGACTTCTAACAGGAAGTCAGCAAAAATCCGGCCTGCAGTCTGGCTTGCTGCCTAACGCAGGAGGGCTCAGTACTGTGGCTGCCTCCATCACCCAGGAGAAGCTCTGAGTGTGCTCCCAGGTGTAGAAAACCCTGACAAGCAGGGCACAGCCCTGTATTTCCAGACCTTGGGAGGCTGAGCCAGGTGTGGGAACAACTCTGGGCAACACAGTGAGACCCTGCCAGAAAGGAAGGAGGGAGGGAAAGGAGGAAGAAAGGGAGAGGAAACAAAAGGTAAGGAGGGAGAGAAGGAAAAGAAAGAAGGGAAATCCTGATGCAACCTTTGAAGAGCTCTTGTTGGAAGGATTCTCCCATCCTTGGTGGTGATAGGAAATAGCATTGATTCTCCATTATTAATTCTTTTCCATCTGAATGAAACTCCATTCTAGTCTCTCCTCTGGCCTCTCTATACTCCCTTTTTTCTCTCTTCTCCTAGGGCAATAGTTTATTTGATTGGTAAACTTCTGAACAAAAGTGGGTGAATGATAGTTTAACCTTTTCTCTCCCCCGTAGTCCTTAAAGTGGGCCACGTACTGACGCATTCGGCTCTGCCATTCCACACTGGAACTTGCACAAGGCAGCCACCATGTTGGGAGAGCCCACAATTCCCAGCAGTTCTTGGGTCTGGATGAGGAAATCTATCGTATGCCGAGCTTCACGGTTAGGGAGCCTATTTTTTGCCACACAGTGAGATAACATTTCTAAAGATGAATTGCATCATTAATAAAAGGAGTATCTGGCTTCCCATTTGTCTGTCCTTTTGACTTTTGAGTCTTACCTTGTTCCGAACTAGACAATCAGAATGAAGTCTCTGGAGAATGCACTGGTGGTACTGGGAACTTACCCTATGAAAACCCCTTCATCAGTTCTGCTCCTCCAGAGGAACCCAAAGTTCAGTAAGTGCTCTGGATTTCTGCAGATGATGTTTCTTCACACCTAGAGGGAGAGAACAAAAATGTTCTATTTTAAAATAATACTACATTAATGGGAGCAAGTTTAGAGTTTGATACTCCTGCTTGCTACACTCCTGCAATAGAATTTAATATTTTGAAATGACAGGATATTCATCTGTGTGTGTCTGTGTGTGTGTGTGTGTGAATGAGAGAGAGAGAGAGAAAGAGAGGTGTGTGTTTGTGAGAGAGAGAGAGAGAGAGAAATTAATAAATCTTGAGATGGGTAAACTACATCATATATCATGTATATGAAATACATGTGATATATATCATATATATAATGTATATATGTGTGTATATATATATTTAGCTTTAGGGCTCTAATATTTTTTATTTAGTTTCTATACTCAGGGGAACCAACTGTTATCTCTTCTATCTTTTAACCTAAGTATTTAATATATGTATAAGTATGTACATACACATATACACACACGTATACTGTATATGTACATGCACATAGATATACGTACACACCCGAACCCACATATTTATATGCCTTAGTTTACCCATAGCCAGGATTATTAGTATTTCATTAAAAAATGTATCAGTCTTTATTGTATTATATTATTGAAATGTGTCCTATGAGTTTCACTGAGGAAACTTTTAATCTATAAATAGTTTTTTGTACATAAATTTGAGAGACTTCTGCTTACTGCATCCCTCTGGCCATGAGCTCAAAACGGCATAGGTAATTATCGGTTTATTTCAACTCTTGTAGCCTAATCTAACAGACATTTTTGAAAAATAGAAAATATACTCTGTAATTAACAGAGCTCTCAGTTTTCTATAGCAACAAATAAAATAAATAAATCCCGGCGTTGTACTGAAAATCAGAAATGAGTTCAATTCCGAACCCTCTCTCCCATAAGTAGCCAGGCAGATTTGGGCAATGATCCAAACTTACTAAATCTTAATCTCTCTCCCCGTGTAAACTGAGAGCTTTGTATAAAATTGCCACTAAGGCCCCACCCATCTTTCTGCGATCATTTTCCTTCCAAGGACTTGGTTTAATCTGGCTAGAACGATCAGGAAGACTTTACAGGAGCAAACCCCTCCTATATGAACAAGGCCTACATTTTAGATATTTGTGTGTACCCAGTCACTGGCTTCTCCGTTGGGCAATTAGGTAGTCATAGCTAAATGACACTAAGGTGAATGTAGTCCATTAATTTGAGGTTTACCTACTGATTTTGAAGAAATCAGTTGTCTACATGACAGAACTTAGTATCGTTTGACTTTAACTGACATAATTAAAAATCCTCTGGAGCCTGGTGACCAGCTGTTGTGATTTATCTTTCCCCTATCCTGCTGTTGAGGGGAAGAAGGCCAGCAACATCATTTTCTCATGGTGGAACTTTAGTAAAGTGGCTTACTCACTCCCTGGGTCACTATCTGAATTTATAAACTAGGAGAATGAGAGTGATAAAGGGAATGGAGAAACAGTTTATAGAATTTAGCATAATATTTTTTTTCTTCATTTATTTTCCAAGAAAAAAATTTCTGGGTGAAAAATGCATATCTCATTAGAGTTCATATGTTATTGTCTTTAAAAAGCAACACTTTTGCAAGCCGAGGGTTGTGTCATAGCTAAGATCGCTCCTCCCTAAGATAATTTCAAACCTAACACATCAGATTCGTTCGCTGTTACTATGAAATAAAGGAGACGGGTTTAAGCCCGTGTTATCCTTCCAACATTGGACTAAACTCTATTGGTGTACAAATCAGCCCTCTGTAAGTACTTTATGAAAACGTGGAGCTGTATGTCTTGGTTTGTAAATGAAGAAACACGCACAGACGTTTCACTGTTTCCCAGGAGGAGGGGAGTGGAAGAGTCGGCAGGTCCCTTTGATCTCATAGCTCACATCCCTCCTTACTGTGCACCCCACTATGTATCCCAGCTCTGCTGAGCGTCGCGATGACACACAGGCCAGGGTACAGTCGATTTCGGGCCTTCATTACCTGTGCCTCTGAAAGTGTGGGTCAATGTTCACCTTTTGATATATAAAGGCCTTGTCTGATTTCTCTTAAGACTCTGATTTTTGTATTTCGTTTCTATGATCAAGGGAACAAAATAATGCCTCTTCCATCTTTTACCTGAATTATCTGCCTGGTATTTAGCATGCTTCAAAGACAAGTGTTAATAGCCAAAAGTGTACTTGTTGAGTATCTAAGTTCAGAGAACTGGGCTGGGTGGGGCTGCCTGCAGAGACTAGTCATCAGGTATGAAGAAGTGCTGGGATGGACAGTTGGGAGGAGACCTATGTAGGGGAGTGTTGATCAGAACAAAGTGAATCATCTCATTATACAAATTCACAAAATGTGATGTGGGGGGCTGGTAAGTGGCATGGTGGTTAAGGTGCTGAACTCACATACGGCCGATCCCGGTTTGAACCCCAGACCTGGCAGCTCACTTTCTCAATTTTTCTCCTCTTTCTGTCTCTCTCTCACTTTGGTCAAATTAAAAAATAATAACAATAAATAAAATTAAATAAATAATTATTTTTTTTAAAAAAATGTGATGTTGAAACAGGCCCCTTTAATTAATTAGTTAAAATTCTACACTGTGCTGGGGAAGAAAATAAGATTCAAGTTGTTCATGAGCTGGAAGTCAGGATTCTGGATCCATTCAGGATCCATCCAGCTTCTCAATAGTAACATTAAATCCTCAATTGGATGTTTATATGTGTATTTTAAAAAGGAAATTTACTACAGTAGGTTTGCATGTGTCAGCCACTTTGTGAAGTTTAAGATTCAGGTAGCATAGTAGTTATTAAAAAATCCTTGGAGTCAGACCAATCTAGGGTCAGCAATATCATTTTCTGGTTGTGGAACTTTAGTCAAGTGGTTTTATCACTCCTTGGGTCAGTATCTGAATTTATAAAACAGGATAATGAGAGTTGCTCCCTTTCTGTGCTGCTTTGAAGATTCAATGAGAAAATTTGTATTTAGTACATTGTTTCCATGAGGGTCTGGCCCAGAGTAAACCCATACAAAAATGTCCAGGTATTGTTGTCATCATCATTGTCATCATCTCTTTTACGTGGCCCTCATATAATGGAATATTCTTTGTAAATTGTGCTCTTTTAAATAAAGAAATAAAAATCCTGGCGCCAGCAGATGGTGTCATGGTTACATCGCTGGACTCCCACACAGTCACACACAGTTTGTGTTCTAGACCTGGCGGCTTAAACTCCCACTGGGCACATGTGCATGCATGGCCAAAATCCCAAGAGAAGAATGGAGGAGAAATGATTGTGGTGTGGCCATCCCTGGGGAGTGATATTTGTGCTTTCTGTCTCTTTCTCTCTGGTGAGTGCACATGCCCTATAGCAAAAACAAACAAACAAAAAAAACTCTCTAAAAAAGAATAAAATAAAAATAAAAATCACAATGTAAGAGGATTATAGATGAAGAACTAACAAAAGAGACTGAAGTAACCAGGATAGTCAGGGTGACTTTATTTTTCTCACCAGTGAAATGAGAAAGACTCATAGTCTCTATATATACAGGGTCTTCTAAAAGTTTATAGAAAATATGTATTATGAAAAAATTGTGCTAGGGTTTAAAATATTTTGTGCCATGGGGCCAGGAGGCGATGTGGTGGTAAGGGCACTGAACTCCCACATGACCGACTGTAGTTCAAGTTCTGGACCTGGCGACTTGCCTTCTCCCTTTCCCTCTCTCTCACTATGGACCTCTCTGGTCAAATTTAAATAAATAAATAAATAAATAAATAAATAAAGTTAAATAAG